AGTTTTGTTTCGACAAGATGACGTGAATATTAAACATATTTACAACGATCATGTTAACTCAGATATGACTTTTGAGAAATTTAAAGCAATTTATTCAAAATGTTGGAGAGACGATAATCATGGATTTATAGTTATTGATAGATATAGACCAATCAATCATGGACGGTATAGAAAAGGATTCGATTCTTTTGCTATAGATATAGCGGAGAGAACGAATAAAGATTATTTAACTTTAGAAATTACAAGCGTCAACATGGCTAATTTTGAAAAAGAAAAGAAGATGCCCGAGCAATTATCTGAGGCTCGTGATACCATCAGACGTAAGTATCAACTAATAAAACGTGACAAAGCTGATTTAGAAAATACATTGAACGAAACTTTTAAACCTATGGTTGATCCATTGAAGAAACTTGTGGAGGTAGCTATTGATAAAACTAACGATAATACTGAACAAGAAACGAACAAGGAGAAGAAAATTACGTTCGATAAAGTTTTCAAGTCAAAAACAACAGCTGACACTCCCTATAAATCTCGATATTTCAATAGTACTGTTAATGAATTAAATTCTACATTACATCCGCTTGATTTTACATTTGAATCCGCTATATCTATTGCTGATACTGCTGATGATGGTGATAATAATGCTGATGAAGACGAATTTAGTAAGACTAGTGAATCATCACTTGATAGAACTGCAATAAATTTAGACAATGTTAGTTCAAATGTAACTACAAAATAACAAAAACAGCTATTGGATGACTCGATTGTAGGAAACTATATTCGACTATTGCATGAACCGCAACAGAAAAGTAATTTAGACAAAACATTTGGCGTTCACTTGCATGAAAATACACATGTCATAGGCAATTCTCCAATTTCTTTCCAAAACGATAATGTGACTGTGAATGATAAAGCATTCAGCAAGACACCTGGATCAATGGAACTTCTCTTTCGTAAAGAACCTAATTCTAAATTAATCAGTTCATCGCATATTGAAAATTATATAAAAATTCTTGAAATCACTAACACTCATCGTAATAAATATGAAACAAATGGAGAATATCGCAATAAGCATGTAAATAAATTCAAAAAGTATATTGGTCCAAATTTATCTTTAAGTGGTAGTGCTAAGAAGCGAAAATTGACTATTGATGGAAGAGGTCTTTTTCCTAACTATAAAATAGCAAGAAAAGGAACATTATTTGATTATGTATATTGGGATGATCCAAACGAGCTCGTTGATCGATTGAGATTGCTTATCGCCGAACAAACCGCTAGTAATCCTAGTCATATTAATGAAATTCATTTAATCATTGAAAAATTACGTGAAGCTGGCTATATATATTAAGAGAATCTTAAATATTCCTCAGTAATAAAATGAGTGTCGATGTGTGTGGACGTATATTGAATAAAAAGGAGGGTAATCGAGGTCCTCCTGGTGTAGGGTATAAAATTACTAAAGACGGACAATACGACGTGGATAACAAAAGAATTTCTAATATATGAGGGTCGTTTGAAAAGTCCGTGCAAAGTCAGAGAGATGGCGATACTAGTGCGTATCAAGGTTATTTTCAGTTAGTGGCATATCTTGGAAGAGCACACACCAAGTTTCAGCCAGATCGGTCAATTACTTTGCGTTTTACATTCGTTTCAATCAAAGAAATCGAGTGGTTGTAAAAAAATGGACGAAAAAAAATTTCGTGTATTGATTAAACATTACTTTTTCAAAGGCAAAACGCCTCAGGAGACTAATCAGAAGCTTGATAAACATTATGGTGATTGTGCACCTTCGATTAGAATGGTTTATAAGTGGTTTCAACATTTTCGGAGTGGCCATATGAGCACAAAAGGCGCTGAACGTTCTGGACGCCCTGTTGAGGTTACCACTTCAGAAATCATTGGTAAAATCCATAATATGGTGATGGCTGACAGAAGAGTGAAGGTGCGTGAGATTGCTAGTACTGTAGGCATCTCCAGCGAACGGGTATATAATATTTTGCACCAACATTTAGACATGAAAAAGCTATCCGCTAGATGGGTGCCGCGATTGCTCACGATTGACCAAAAACGAGATCGTGTGAAGTGGATCGTCTAAGGGGGAATCTGCTCCGAAAAAGGCGAAGATAATTCCTTCAGCCGGGAAGGTTATGGCGGCTGTCTTTTGGGATTCGCAAGGAATAATCTTTATCGACTATCTAGAAAAGGGTAAAACCATTACAAGCGAATATTATTCATCGTTATTGGATCGTTTGAAAACCGAGTTGCTAGAGAAACGTCCACGATTGGCCCACAAAAAAGTCCTCTTCCACCACGACAATGCGCCAGCTCACGCCTCAGCAGTTATGGCCGCAAAACTGATGGAGATAGGGTTCCAACTCGTTTCACATCCCCCCTATTCTCCAGACTTGGCTCCGTCGGAATACTATTTGTTCCCTAATATGAAAAAATAGCTGGCGGGGAAAAGATTTTATTCAAACGAGGAGGTGATTGCAGAAACGAATGCCTATTTTACAGACTTGGACAAATCCTATTATTTGGAAGGGATTAACAAACTAGAGCAGCGTTGGATGAAGTGTATAAGCCTAAAAGGAGACTATGTTAAAAAATAAAAAAGATATATTAAAAAAAATCAAGCAGTTTTTATTTTTGCACGGACTTTTCAAACGACCCTCGTAGTTGATCCTCAGGAGAGTAACGATGCTGTAAACTGACGAACGTTGCAAAAAACTAGTGAAGCTAACGTCGCTACGCTTACGACTACAATAAATAATCTGCAAAAAACTAGTGAAGCTATTGTCGATACGCTTACGACTACAATAAATAATCTTAAAAAATCTTTAAATATAATAAGAATACAATTACGATCGTATGGAGAAGTGTTTCAATATTTACAAACAAATAATAATGATAATAATAAGGAGAAATAAATAAGGATTACACCGTCTGACAATTATAACAAATAGATTGAAAAAATGAAACATCAAAGAGTGGCGGATGAGTTACACAAACCAGCACGTCGAAACTATCCTCGTCGAAAAGTCGATATACGCGGAATAGATGAGACGTTGCAAGCTGATCTTGTTGAGATGCAAAGCTATTCTAGAGAGAATAAAGGTTTTCGCTATCTATTAACTATTCTAGATACGTTCTCTAAATATGCTTGGGGAGTTCCAGTAAAACAAAAAACTGTTACAGATGTCACTAACGCAATGGAGTCTGTATTAAAAAAGGGACGCATTCCTAAAAATCTCCAAGTGGATAGAGGCAAAGAGTTCTACAATACAAATTTTCAAAGTCTAATGAAAAAATATAAAATAAATCTTTATTCTACTCGTAGCAATCTTAAAGCATCAATTTTTGAACGTTTCAATCGAACACTAAAAAATATTATGTGGAAAAAATTCAGTTTAATAGGAAATTATAAGTGGATTGACTTTTTCCCCAGTTTAATAGAATCTTATAATAATCGAAAACATCGCACAAAAAATATGAAGCCTAAAGACGTGACTAAAGAAAATGAAATGCAGGTCTTGACACGATTCTCTTACGATCATCGTCTTTTCAAAAAACTGAAATTTCAGGTAGCAGATAAAGTGCGAGTGAGCAAGTCTAAACACGTTATTAAAAAAGGATATACGCCTAATTGGTCTGCAGAAATTTTTACTATTCATTGTATTTCGAGAACTAAACCTGTAACATATCACCTACTAGATTATCAAGAAAATCCCATTGTTGGTGGTTTTTATGAGCAAGAACTACAGAAAGCTATGTATCCTGATATTTATCTTGTAGAAAAAATTCTCAGAAGACGGGGTAATGAAGTCTTCGTAAAATGGCTTAGCTTTGATAATACTCACAATTCTTGGATAAATAAGGAGACTATACAACAATGAATTACAAATATAAATTTATATGTATCTAGCTTATATTTAAATAAATAATTATTTTCATTTATAAATATTACATTGTTTTTTTTTATTTTAAGGATAACAGCCCCAACCTTCGCTCTTACCTGTAAGGTCATTTTTTATATTCGACTGTAACGGTCCAGTCTGATTTGTCTCTTCTTTCCCCCTGTAAAATAGCAACCCGTCGTGCACGTGATAATGAAAGAAAAGCCGTAATTGAGCGAAGGCGCTTTTCTCACGCATATGCAAATGTGTTAGGGCAACTCTGCGAAAACATTACCATATAAGGAGCGTGACGTCACGACCGTGGGAAATATATTGTTTACAATGCAAAATCAACAATTATAAAGTTTTTCGAATGAACAAAGGCACTTTCTTACCCTATTGAAAAAATCCAGCTGGAAATCCATGCTGGATTTCCATATGGAAATCCAGCTGGAAATCCAGCTGGATTGATATGGATTCCATATGGATTTGACCTGGATTTCCAGGATGGATATCCAGCTGGAATCCAGATGGATTTCTCGACAAATCCAGGTGGATTTCTCGACAAATCCAGGTGGATTTCTCGGCAAATCCAGGTGGATTCCTCGGCAAATCCAGGTGGATTTCTCGGCAAATCCAGGTGGATTTCTCGACAAATCCAGGTGGATTTCTCGGCAAATCCAGGTGGATTCCTCGGCAAATCTAGGTGGATTTCTCGGCAAATCCAGGTGGATTTCTCGGCAAATCCAGGTGGATTTCTCGGCAATTCCAGGTGGATTTCTCGGCAAATCCAGGTGGATTCCTCGGCAAATCCAGGTGGATTCCTCGGCAAATCCAGGTGGATTCCTCGGCAAATCCAGGTGGATTTCTCGGCAAATCCAGGTGGATTTCTCGGCAAATCCAGGTGGATTCCTCGGCAAATCCAGGTGGATTTCTCGGCAAATCCAGGTGGAGTTTTTCGTAATTACAGATGGACTTGCGAACAAACCTTTTTAGTTAAATTCCGGGTCGATTTTCTAAAAAAAAAGGTGAATTATTTTACTATCCCTGATGCTTTTATTAGAATGTGAGTTTTTCTATTTTATTTTAATTTATTTCTTTATTTAATCCACAATACAAATCAGTATATTACATTCGTTGAGACAATACATTACCCAAGTAAGCATTATCAGTAGAAAAACATTCTACTCGCTGGAGTGGTATGTGAACTAACATTACAAACTAATTTCTAAATACTTACATACTAATAGTTATAAAAACAAAAAATTAAAATACTGAGCGTTTTTTTTTTACATCTATAGTTATTTATCTTTAGAAAATTTGTGTAATTAATTAATAAATTGTGATCTTTATGCAGTTATAGGTTTTTTTTTTAAGTTTTGTGTTTTTATTTCATATGTATATATAATCACGTGCTAACATTTAGTTTTCATTTACTTCCTGTTTGCGCTATAATTCTATAAGACAATGAAATTTCTCAATCTCTATCACTAACTGACCAATCAGACTCAATAGAGGCTTTACCCTGAAACCATTCTCTTTCTTAACAAGACAACGATAATATTTACTATTTATTTTGATTGAATATAATTGAGACAAACGTTAATAAAAATCAACAATTTAAAAAGAGAGAGATAGCTGCCAATGAATTAGCAGCATTTTTTTTACATCATTTCGGCATTAAAGCTGATTAACTTATTTGTAGGTTATGCGTGAAGGTGCGCGAGTGTTCCCCACCGCCTTCATCGTCTAGGTTATTATTTCCAATACATATTAGGAAGTGATGAAATATAAATGGCATTATTAGTATTCATATAAACACACAATTTCTGAATATTTTTAGTTTCTGTTATATTAAGATGTAAATATGTTCCAGTAACTTTCTTGAAACAATGTAATTCATCACCTATTAAATTATCATTATCGACTTGAAGCATCCTGTATATTGAATACTCTTTTTCATCTTAAAAATTGATGATAAAATGCTCGATTTCTATGTAATTTCCATTTTTCAAAACTGCATGTGAATTGTCTGATCTAAATAACTTTTTTTTAGAAGACATAAATAAGCACCTATCTTTCACCATTTTTCTAAAAGCTCTTACTTGCTCTTTGGGAAGTTGGAACAGCTCAATAATTTTGTCGTCAACTGCTGTTCTTCCAAAATATCTGTATGCAAATTTAACAGTATTTTCAACAAATCCATTATCTAAGTATTTGACATACTGTATACATGGGGAATCGTCTTTTGCTTCCACGTGTTTTTGCAATATCCTAATGCTTTCTTTAAAATACAGATGACGGCACACTTGACTCAAAACACCTTTAGCAGCATAAATTGTCTGTTTAATTTTTCCATTACCTGATTCGAATACGTAACCGCTATGTACATATAATGGACCCCAGTCAGCAACACTCTGTGCTAAGTGTAACAGTTGGTGAACGTTATATGTCATCGCATCGCGTCCATAAAGAAGTTCCGTTTGGAAAACAAATTGTTTTAAAAGGGAATCTGCTCTTTTTAACTCTGTTACGGTTATTTCGGTTTGTAACAATATATAATATGCCTCTACAAAAATAAACCAATGGTTCATATATCGTTCAAACTCTGGAAAATCTTCTGATATTAATTTTAATATTGGCGCACTATAAAATAGAATCCAGTTTAACCATTCAGCTGCTTTCCAAAACGCTCGATCACTTAAACTACGTGATAACCGTATTAGTTGTGTAGGCACTTTGAAGTTGGATAGAAGTTGATTGATTCTCTTTATTTCACTCTTGGGTACAGTATAGGGCTCATTAGATGAAGCAAACCAATAATTGCAAAATTGATTACCTACACCCCGATCAACGCAGTGCATTGGGCATGGAACGAAACCATAAATTATATTAAAGCTATTCAAAAGCAACAAAGGAGTTGCATTTTTTACACCATAAATTGGAGCGTTTGCTTCAACGGATCTCCGTATGAGCTGTAATGTGTCATCTGCGGTTCGTCTTTCAGGATGTTCGTCAAGTATAATATATTTCATTGAATATCCAGTATTATGACGAACAGACGCACCTGGATGCAAACACCAACTACATCCAAAGTAACCATTAAATTGAACAAAACCTTGCATGGGTGCACGAGCAACAGTATCGACGCAGCAGCATAATACATACGAATGAATATTTTTCATTTCATTTCTCAATTTGCATGGTATTCCATTTTCTGAAAGTTCATTCATTTTTTCCACAAAAGGTCGTAAGAAATAAGTCATGTTTGGTTTATCACGTCCAAACCACAATGCACAAACAATGGTTTTTTCAGATCGAACATGTAATGGAAGTTCATTAATAAGAATTTGTATTGGCCAAATAGAACATTTCGAACTTTTAAAAGTTGGCGACCCATCACTATTTAAAGTAAGAGTAATATAATTTTCTTTACGGTCATCAGACAACGATACCAGGAACTGTTTATATCTTTGACCATCGAAAAAATCCTTAAAATTAACACTCACTTCTTTATTTCGTCGAGATACGACATCAATGTAGAAGTCTTCATTGGATTCGATAAGATCTTGGATTTCGCTTACTACATCAAGTATTACAAAATAATCCCTAAAGAGAGGATCTTTCAAGTTTACATTCATATCACAAACTTCGCAAAACATTAAACGTTGTCCTTTTTTAAATATTCCTAGATAAACCTTGCACACTGGGCATACAGCGTGATACTCCCTACCTTTTTCAGGATTAAATAACATATCGAGTTGATAACGATTATCTGGGAACACCTTTTTATCCACAAACATATTTAGCATTTTAAATAAATCTACCATTCCTGTCGTTGGAATATGATATTTGTTGCAATATTTCATAACAGCTAATATCATTTCTATTCGACTAACACCTATCGGTAAGTGCAAAGGCTCGTTGTAGTCTTCATCATTAATAATTTCATCTAATCTCTCAAATCTATTTTCAACCGTTTCATTATCATTGATTGCTAAGTTATTGAAATTATTAAAATCTTCATCGTCGCTACTATCCGTCAAACAATCCCCCATATCTTGTACAATGTCAAAAAAGTCCTAAAAGAAGCAAAAAGTAATCATTAATAATTTATCACAAAAAATATTTTTAGAATTAGTAGAAAAATATAGATAATGTTCATTAATATGGGTGATTGTCAAAAAAAGTCAGAAGTTGCTTATCCAAGGCTTTTTCAACTGGTAATTTTAGACTTAGTTAAAATATTATTTTTATGCATTTTTATTACCAACGTATAATAATAATATGTTAAATTTCATAGCAAATAGCAAGTTCTGAAACTGCCATTTTCGTTGTATGTCCATTTCCTACATTATCAATCTATTTAGTAAATTCATCCAATGAGAGTTGAATTTGCTGAAATAAAATACATTTTTTGGTTCTACATACCAAAAAAAGACTTTCTACATTGGTCCTAAGATTTCAAATTCCTCCTAACAAAACTCCATTTCATTTTCATGAAAATCGGTGAGATCGACCTCTTAAGCCCCATATCTATAGTCCAATCTCTCAGAAACATCGATTATATCGTAAAAAAAAAACAATTTTTCAGAAAGAATATGGGTGAAAAATTGTTTTTTTACACTGCATTTTGCAATAGTAAAAAAATTTTTTTTATGGGCACCATCGGAAAGAGCAGATTTTAAAATTTCAGAATATGACCATCTCAATTTTTTTTTTATGTTTTTAACGTCAATTACAAGCTCTCAAAGACAGGTGTACCGCGAGTGGAGTTCTAGGCCGAAACGGGGTTAAATTAAATTTAGCAATATTACCTCCCTCAGTGTAGAATATTCAATTTATAGTTTTTATCATAAAGATTAAGTAACGTAATTTTCATGATTCTAATCTCATTTGTGAGAATGAACTATCGATTCAGCTGTCGAAAATTTATTTGGTTAAATACAACTTAAAGACAGTAAAATATTATTTTTCGTTATTATGAAAAAAAATAGTTAGACTGAATAAAAAAAAGTGACATAAATTTTGAGTCGAACTCCAAATATTAAGTTTGAGTCTATCAGTGATTTATTTGCGTCTCTGTTTTCGATTATTAAATACAGTGTATAATTATTTTCGGGCTTTTCTCTACGAGATTTTTATGCCTTAGTCGATAAAAAAAAATACAAATACAATTGATTGTTGTAATTGGTGCTCTACCAACCGCTGCTGTATGGATATATATATATATATATGTGTGTGGAAAAATTATTTCTGTTCACCACGTCCCTTACAAGTATATTGAATAACATCTACATTTGCTATAGTTTAAGAATCTATCATTAGTTGGTAAAAGTACTTAACTTTAAACTAATACATATTTACCAAAAACTTGAAGTACGACAAGGTTTAGATTGAAATATTTTCCATTAATCAATGCCTTTTTTTAAGGTGTCTTATTTTCATGCCCGTCTTTGACAACACAGCTGTATCAGCACAAATACAATTGATTGCTGTGATTGGCGCTCGACCAACCACTGCTGTATGGCTATATATATAAATTTTTTACATGAGAATAATATCTTTAAAGGATGGCCTTGCACTCAAGGAATGCCCATGATCAAGTTATGAAAAGCATTATATATATATATATATATATATATATATATATAATATATAATGAGTCCTTCATGGCCAAAATTAAGCTGCTAAAAAATTGGACATTTTCTAAAATTTTAAACATTTTAACAATTTTAAATAAATTTTGAACCGTTGAACTGATATGAAATTGTCCATGTAAATGAATAAATAAATAAATAAGTGTCAAGAAAATTCCAATGTGAAAAAAAAAATCAAGTGATATTCTTTTATAGAGCCATCATGGTGTATCTAATAAGTGACTGTTCACTCTAAAAAAATATTATCACCAATTGCAAACTTACATTATTTTGTACATTGATTCCATCTCTATTTATATGACAGTGATGGTTTATATCTGAATACGCACAGGATTGATCGTTGACATCTGAATGGGTTTGAGATTGATTAACATCTAAATGTATGTGAGATTGATTGAAACCTAAAAAAAATAATTAATTTTAATATTTTTCAATTATTTTGAATATGATTTCAAGGAATTATCTAATCATTATTTATCCAATATTATTTACAAAGTTTTAATACTTTTTTATGGCATGTCTAACTGAATAATTTTGAATTAAATTGATTCAAACGTAGTTCAATAGTTTTCAAAAAATTAAAAAGTCAATGTGTCAATGAAGTCAATGTGATTTTATTATACGTATACTTTTCAATATTTTCAATTATCCAAGTAAAAAGTATATGTAGCTATGAAAAAAATAGAAATCAGTGATAACTTGATTGTATTACCTTCTGAATTGGATAAGACGTCCACATTGAAATCTGATTGTTCATTATTATCTGTAAATGATAGTTGATCAGACTGCCTCAATCTTAAAAATAAACTATCAGTATCATTATCTGAACTGCATGAATGAGCTGTTATATCTGAATGAGAATTGGAGTGAAGCATATTAATTGAAAAAGTTTCTTGACTTCCTGTCATAGATATAGTATCCATATTACTAGAAGAACTATCTATATCCATCTTTGACACTATGTCTAAGAAATTGTTCACAATAAATTCTATAAATTTATTGAATAAAGTAAATGTAGAATCATACAGCCATTATAATCCACCTTTCTGAATTGTTATTGCTATAGTATTCCAATAAAACAATGCAACTGCACAAGAGTGCACAGCTGTTTATAAATGTATTATTATAAATATACCTATATTCACATTCACACTTAATTAAAAAAGGAAATGCTTTTACAATAACTCAACGGATTTTTATTGTTATCAGATTGCTCCCTCGAATCAAGACAGCCTCATGGCAAGCATTTTGTGCACGTTGCACATGCGCACTTAAGTATTAGCTAAGCAACAGTAGGTACAAATGTAGATCAGCGCCACCCGGCTTTATATCCGTTGAATCTGCGACCAGTGTCCAGTTGGCAGTTAACCAGTCCTTTGTCTTTGTTAATTCAATCAAACATGGCTGTCCTTACTTTGTTCTTCTGCCATTTATAATATTACTATTTCAGTATTATTAATCAGGATTACGTATTGATCTTAAAACTTTTTGTATTAATTTTTATCAGCAGTATTCGAGTGTATCGTTCATTAATTTCAAATTTATTTGGGAGAAATTAGTTATTTACTTTAGATATAATAAGCATTGCAACCTTTTTCAAGCAACCATGAAGCCTGGTTATTATGCCAAAATTAAATATATAGACGACCACATTCGAGGAGTACTCCCAGTAACACAAATATTGGAAATGCAATCAAACCCCGAAAATGTTCAGTTTGACAAAGATGGCATATATACAGTTATGTGGCAAGATGATAAAATTCCAAAAGCCATTGAAGTGGGAATCCAAATTGCTGACATAAAATGTAAGTAGCTTTTGTATCAATAATTTTATAGTAAAAAAAAAATAAATAAAAAAATATACCATGAAAAAATTTGACAATTAAGGGGCCAATTAATCAGCCAGTGTTAAAAATAAAAATTGTAAATATTGCACTAAAATTAAATGAAAGGCAGTATACTATGTACAGCTAAGCAAAATCAAATGACAGCTGTATGAAATTGAGCAAAATTCAGCTGTATGAAAAATCAAATGACACTAAATTAAATTTGATGAATGCTTCCTATTCTTTTTTGCATATTAGTCCACCTGAGCGTAATACTTTGAACAAGAAAACAATTCTATTCTATTAAAAAAAATCATTTACAGCTTATTTTTCACTATTCAAACATATATTTATTTGTAATAAATTTTTCCTTCAACTTATGACACATTTCTTAATTTTGCTGCGCTTTGATAGATCCATTAAACATATTCTGGAGTTTATGATCAAATTTCAGCTCAATCATTTATATGTATTATAATAAGTCACTTTAATATTTAGTTTTCTTGAAAAATATACCATTTCTGAACATTCAGATGACTTGGGATTTCAGAAATTTTAATTCTTCTAAAAGATATGTTTGGTATTTTCAGTCATTATAATTACTAAAAATGATGCTTCAATTCTCTGTTGAACTATTTGCTTCAACTGTATTTGCGACCATCTTTATAATTTTTTATTAGGAGCATCAACCTGTAAACGAAACAAAATATCCACAAAGTAACTAGTTTTTGTTTTCTTGATAATATATACATACATCTGTGTACAATAAAATCTCAACTGCTTACATTGCTACTGCCTAGCAGAAGAATGTATATGTAAGAAGCATATATGTAAGTCACCGGTCTGCAGTGCAGTGGCCATTTTATTATTTGAAAACATTAGACTACATACAGCCTGGGAAAAATCTAATGACTAAGTTAATTTTGATAAATGCTTCCTACTCCTTTTTGATATAATCAGTCCAATTAAGCGTAATACTTTAATAAAAAAAGAAATTTATTCTATTCAAAAAATTCATCTGCAGCCTACTTAAATCAATTTTTTTCTTCCAATAAATTGTATTGAATTAATTTTTTTCAAAACTAATTCAATAAAATAATCCAACTAATGTAATTCATGAAAACTGTCAATGTCCACTCTCGTAGTAATAAATATTTATTTATATTGTTATTATGAAAATATAATATAAATTTGTTGGTATCATACTTCATTTTCAGGGTTGAAAACTGAAGACGATTTAAAGGAGTTTGAAAAAAAAGAGGTGTTTTTAGTGTCCTTAACCAGTCTATTATAGACAGATATTATGACTCTGAAGATAAAGATTCATGTGACAGTAACAATGATAATGAAAATGGTATAAACCAAAATAATACTCCACCAAAATTAAATGTAAAAAAAAAAGTGAAGAAAGATACGAAAGAGCAAGAATTGAATGTACGAAAAAAGGTGAACTTTCATATCTAATAATTTAATGTATTCGTTAGAAATTTATTATTATTGATATGATTATGATGATCATGATTATTATTATTTATTATTATTAAATTATTTAAATAGTCTACAATATTTTTCTGCTATCTATTTCTTGGCCAGCCTAGAGGCCTCATACTAGTTAGTTTTCCCCTCTAACCTTAACCTTAAGGGTGTCCAATCTCAAAGGACTTCAATCTCAGTAACCGTTCTTCTATCCGCAACCTGAGGATGCACTACGTAGTGGTGATAGGAATCCACCGAGTAGTTTATAAATCTATTAATGTTTTTATTTTTCATTATTATTAATATCTATCAATTATGAACACTATTGTTATTTAGTTTATAAAATTATTATGAACTATTAATTATAATAAAATAAAATAACAAAAATAAAAATAATGTTGCTTTTGTAAAATAGTATAATGAACTAAATTCAATTTGTAGATATACGACAAAGAGCTTCAAGATAACCTTTTAAAAATTAAAGAACAACAATTTACCAATGCACCAACTTTGTTAATAAGCAATGAAAAAATAGATCATACAGTTAAAAAGAAACACAGTGCTGTACAAGGGAATTCATATGATTTCAACGTAGGAACTAAAGATTCTGAAAAAAATAGCTTCGAAAATACAATTCGAAATTTGAGAAAAGAAAATGTAGATTTACAAATACAGCAAATAAAATTACAAAATACAATTGATCTACTTAACCAGCGCTTAGAAACCTACAGAATCATTAATGAAAGGTTGCAGATAAAAAATTTGCATTTAGAAGAAACATTGAAATTAATTGATGAAACAAAAACAAAAAACTATGAACAAAAACCATATGAGGTAAAAGTATTTCTGATTCGTAATAAATTTTACTAATATTATTTTGAATAATTCTTTCATTTAAAAATCACAGACTTTTAAATGAAAATAACAATTTACTTAAACAATTGTTTTTTATATTTCCAAATAGTCCCCTCCCAATTCGATACATTTATTCCAGCGGTATTCAATCTTTTTTAACCCTTCCAAAAAGTAACTTTTGTCGAACTCCTCAAAATACTCATTTGTGGCAGCCATAATTTCTTCATTCGATGAAAATCTGTTACCACCATGCTAAGTTTTCATGTTTGGAAACAGAAAATAATCAAACGGTGCTAAATCTGGAGGCGGGTGAGGAAAAAATTCATACCGTAATTCTAATAATTTGGCTATTGCAATAGCGCTCATGGGAGCTGGTGGAAGAGCCCTTGTATTCATACCACTATACAACGAAATTCAGTAAACCACTTGTGAACCATTTCATGTGATGGAGCAGAGTTCTTATAATATTTTTTAAGCTTTTCTTCAATTTCCTTAATTGTTTTTCCACGCAGAAAATAATGTTTAATAAGCACTCAAAATTCGCTTTTTCCCATGCTTGTGTAAAAACAATGAAACACTAAATTCAAAAGACTATTAAACAATGAAATTTCAATTATAAGTATGTATAATTGAATCTCGCTATAAAATACTCAAATATAAGTATTTTATATATATATATATATATGAAATACTAACTGGGTTTCCCCCGTGTTCGCTTCGCTCGGCAGCCTACCTATTTTTGTTTTTGTATCATACTTATAATTGAAATTTCATTTACCAGTTTGTGCACTCAGTTTCTCTTCCAGGATAACTAATTACCCACCCACCCCCACTTCCCCTATAATGCTTACATTATTTGTTCAATTGATAATGATCTTTTTTAATAATTTTTCAAGATTGACATGACGGCAATAAGCAACACGTCGACTCCGACAAAAATGTTGCATATTGACATTACAAAGGAAAATAAAGATCCTGAATATGCTAAGTCGAATGTAGATGATTATTGTGCAGCTTCACACGACAATAATATAAAAATATCCTCAAATGATGAATCTGAAGTTGTCGATGAATTTAATGATTCACAATTAGATGACTCAATTGATCTTGCATCGATGAAAAAGCCACATCTGGAAGTGAAACGTAATAACAATATATTATGTATTAATTCATAGATAAATTGTCATTAATCGTTTTTAAAAAGTTGTAAACATGTTCTCCAACCTATAAATTTCTAGAAACTATTATACTCGATTTACTTCAAGTTGTCATTAAATAGCATAAATTTTTATTGTTCTTCATATTACTATCCAGGCTAGAACTGCTTGAAATATTATATACTTGTGCTGACGTTTTTTTCAATTCTTAAAGCACTTAAAAAAATTTTTTTTTGTAATTTTCTTGTATAATATTTTGAAATAAACTTTTTTAGGAAAATTAGATTTCAAAGATGAAAAGTCTCTGATACCAGAAAAAAGATCAAAAGATAGGAGTATATCAACATCCATAGAGAATGAAGAAACTCGCGATTCGGGTATTTCAGATTATACAAATTTTGATTTTCACCAAGCAGACGTAAGTAACTCTTCTGAATGTAAGACTGAGCTGTCCAACCAAGAAATTGCTATGTTCACACGAAATTTATTGAAAAAAAAAACAGAAACCAAAAAAGATCTCTCATCAACATACTAGCGAAAAATCTAATGATGATGATGAGAATAGTCAGATCAGTATTCCCGATGAAATGTCAACATGTTTTTCCAACTTTGGCCACAAAGAAAACATTACCAATAATGATGGAGTTACGGTTAGTATACACTATATAACTTGTCGTTGATTGCGTTCTAAAAAGTATTTTTGAAGTCTCTGCAGCCTAGTTGCATGCAAGTTTTATCTTTCTTGATCATAATATTGCAAAAAGAAATGCTAAAAGTACTACTTTTATTTTCAGACAACGTACATATTTTTGAATGAAAGTTTCAAAATATTATACGACGATTGGAAAAATTTCCTAAGTGTAAAAGATGCCTGTAAATTTACGAAGCACATTCTTAGAGCAATGAAC